GGCTGAATCTGGACGCCAGTTCCGACTTACATACAGATTCAACTTAAGAACAAACCTACAGTCCCTATCTTGTACGTAACCCGGGGACTGCCTGTATTTATTGTAACAATGATAAATAGAATTCAGACAGAAGTGAGGTTTTTTTTTTTTAATGTGATGTCTGTCCCATACAATCAGTCCTCATATCCTCTATGAGGTAAGTAAGTATGATATCCATTTTACAGATGAGGAAACTAAGGTATTCAAGTAAAATGACAGTAACTTTACCAGTGCTAAAATTTGAACCTCAAGTATTTCTGCCTCATAGCTTTGTGCTCAGAACTCTAGACCTGATCTCTCTTGATCCTTGGCCTTGTAAAGACAAGACAGCTATGCGAGAGGAAGCTAGTCTATTCTTCCTCAAAATTAGCAGTTAAATATGGATTTCTTGGTTTATTATGGTGATATAAATAGCAAAACATAGTTTAGGAGTTTAAAATATTAGTCTAAAGTGTGGGATTTGCTATATTAATTCCTGCGTATTAAAAAAGCCTGAATTGTCTGGGAAACTACTGACCATTTTAAGTTCATATATTTCATGAACCCACAATTCTCGCAATTAGTTTTGTATATCTCTGGAAATGCTTGGTTTTATGTCTAATGGGGGTTCACAAAATATTAAATAATAAAATTGTCATTTTTAAAGCAATCATAGTGATCATCTCAAGAGCCTTTCAGTAGAGAACCAACATCTTTCACCACCTGAGAGCCAGGAATCTCTTTTTTTTTGAAATGCTAAAAATATTAATCTTAAGTTTAGGAACCCTCAATAGCCAAGGGTAGAATTGGGCAATAAGTATTCATAAGAGTATTGGCAGCTAAAAGAAGGCCAGAACTGAAAACCAAAAGGGGCTGGCCAGGAAAACAGTAAAGCATTTCCTACCTGATAACAGTTTGTGGATCATTTTTGTTGTTTGGGTTTTGCATTGTCTTGTAGTCTTAAGCATTTCCATGTTAAGTTATGTCACATTGGCTTAGTTAAGTGGAAAAAATGTCAGAGAAGATCAAGATATCACTTTTAAAACTTGAACTACAAATGATATTCATAGTGTGAGCAGCTCAGATCCTGCTACAATCAGGAATTGAGGTATCTTTTGAGGGGGTTTTCTTGAAACTATTGACACTTTTTCATCGTAAACGTTAAAAAAAAATCACTAATAAAGTAGATGTCACGCTCACTTTCTAGGTCTAGTAGTTTGTGATTTATCGAGCAGAAACACTTTGGTGAACAAGTATCAAAGCTTTCAGGACTAATAAACTTTTAAAGACAGTGCTCCTGAATCTGTTGAGAAGGAAATCTGTTCTCTTGGTGGGTTTTGATTTCCTCATCTAAAGTTAATTTTCAGTACTAGCATTCAAAATCATCTTTTGTCTAGTAAGCCAAGCCAACTTCATCTTTGCCATTGGGGGGGGATATGGAATCCTGGTATGTTGTTTGCAGTTGCTTTTTGTGACAACACACATAATTCAACTGTTAGTGTTGCAGAAAGCTCCTGGAGTCTGAGCTCTAGGGAACTGTAGCAGTCTCATTTCCTCTGAGGATGTAAGGGTATCTCTACCCCAGAGTCCAAGTACAGTAACATGATGCCAATCTTGGCATCTGTTCAGCCAAAGCCAGGAAAAATGACTTGGGTTTCTGTCCATAAGTCCTTCATAACAGTGAGAGCCATGCCTCTGGGCACTCAGGAAAGGAGGGGATGTATGCAAGAAATGACAGCCTGCCAACGGAGTGAAAAGAGCCTTTCTGCAAACCGGGAAGGCTGTATTTTAGTCCTTTGGGAGGCTGGCTGATGTTCATGCTTGAACAGCAAAAAGGTGTAGTGTCTCCTGCTGAGCTTAACAAAAAAGACTTTGTGATGTGTTTTGTATAATGTTTCCAAGCTTGGTTCCTGTTATCTCTGGCCACCCCAAGCACTACTTATGGGTTTCTCCCTTATTTACACACAAATTCCCATATTGTGTTCTAAGGAAGCAGGGAGGACTCTCAGGATGCGTCCTGTGCCATGTTTGCATTAAGAATGGAATGATAGAATCTCTTTCCTCAGTCTTCAACTTCCTCCTTCTGCACAGCGAGAGGTAGGGTTGCCAGGTGTCCGGTATTTTCACCTCCTGTCCGGTTTAAAAAAAAAAACCTGAGATGTCTGGTATTTTCTGAATTTTTCCCCAGCCAGGAGGCGAAAATGCCGGGCACCTGGCAACCCTACAAACACTCAGCACCTGGCCTCTCCCTGCCCTCCAACACCTCCAGCCCCCCAACCTCAGCCCCCATGCTTACCTGGTTCCCCAAGGCTGCTGGTACAGTATGGCTGCTGGCCAAAAGACCTCGGGGAAGCAATGACTTCCCTGGGTCTTAGTGCTCGACCGCTCCCCTGTTCCTATCCTTGCACTCACTCTTAAAGGAGACATGCTGTTTTAATGTTTTTGTTTTGTTTTTTTTCTCTCGCAGCAATTTTGGTCTCTTCCCCCCCCCCCCCCCCCTTTTTTTTCCCCTTCAACAGAATTTTTTCCCTGGTGGGATTTTTTTGGGGGGGGTGGGGGGAATGTTCGGCATTTTTGTTTCAACTATCTGGCAACCCTAGCAGGAGGTGGGGTCTTCATTGCCACTGCATTGTGGAGACTCTAAGCACTATGCCTGACTGAAGTGGGAACTATTCAGAACAGAAATAGTGAAACAGGAAGTGAGAGTAAATTGTGGAGGAACCCACCCACTGTTTCTACAATCCCCGCTCAGTGCTTGAGGAAAAAGAAAGCCTCAGTCATGTATCATGGAGGAAAATTGTTTCCTAGCCTCCAATCCATCAATTACTTTTGCCAGTTTACAACTCTCAGGGCTTGTCTATATTAAACCCCTGTGTGAACACCCTTAGGTTGATTAAAAACCCTTGTTATTTTTTTATTGCAAAGCGACCCTCACCCCCTGCCCCCCCCCCCCCCCCCCCCCCCCACACAAAGATGTTGAGTAAGAGATTTATGTGTACTAAGCTGAGGGCTTCCAACCACAAGTATTGTTCAACAGCATAAGTCACATGATGCTTGGAGACCAGTCTCCCCTGGTAAGCAGATCTGTTTTTGCTGGCTCAGCCATACTTTACTAAGAATAGTAATAGGACAGTGTAATTTGAAAGTGTCTGAAGCTTCAGGCCATTTCAGCTCCAGACCTTTGGTTGCAGTTTTAAACATTAACCTCACTATTGCAGCCTGTGTATGTGGATGGTGCCTCTTGCATTCATACTAGTCAACAAAGATGTAATCCCTGGAGTCTACAAGACTTGCACATAACCCCATAGTCTCATTGCCTGACTGTCCAGGGTGGTTGGAAAGTGCCTTCTCTCACTAGCTGTTGATTTACTGGCTAGCCAGTAAATCCCTATTATTTCCCTTAATTAGAAAAATATAATTAAATAACTTTAATGCTTCATGAAAAGCAGATTGGATGATTCTGGCCACGACCAGGCATAGTGCAAGGAGGCAGGAGTGCAGGCTTCTACCATAACGTCCATGTATCCCATTCCTTATCTGCAGAAACCCTTGCTCATATGGACCTGGGGCCACCCTTAAAAACGGTTGTGGTACTAAACTGTTGTATGGGGAATGACTGTGGTATAGTCAAATGTATATTAATGATATTGATTTTTTTTTTCTTAAACGTTCCATACATTGCAAATTGAATAAATGTGGGGGAACATCAATCCCCACTAGTGCCATGTTGTGCTAGTGGACTAATTCACTGCACAACATTTCTGATTATCAGTGTTTCCCTTCACCCATATTTACTTTTAGCTAGTGATTATCCTTACTAGACATACACATGGATTACATTCGCTGCACACAACCAGCCACATCAGTGAGTTATCTTAATTGATCCCCAGGGCTGCTGCAGACTCTTAACGCTGATTATCTGGATGATTGCAGGTCGGTCTGGTGTACATGTTCAACCTTATTGTTGGGACGGGAGCCCTAACCATGCCGAAGGCCTTTGCCACTGCTGGCTGGCTCGTCAGCCTCATTCTTATATTGTTCCTGGGCTTCATGAGGTACGATTTTGGTGTCTGTTCTTTGCCTGTCTTCAGCATGCTGGGAGTGTGGTTTGGTTTTTTTAACAAGAGCTACATGTAAGAGATTGGGGGCAGCATGCTGGTGAGAAGCCCAGCCCCTCTGCTACCCAACTACTGTCAACTTCTAGCTAATGGCTATCTACAATGTGGAGCTACATCCCGTCTGGGCTGTGGAAGGGAAAGGACTTGTCTCCACTGCCCATTCTAGAGACTTCTGGCTGCTGCATGTCAGAGTTTAAGGCCAGAAGGGATCACCAGATCCTTTATTCTGATCTTCTGTATATCAATGGCCTTTGATACCTTCCAGCAACTTAAATCAGACCAACATATTACAGCGCACAGGAGACTAGTCTATTATGTGCCATAGGGATGTCGATTATACAATTAACCAATAAGCCTAGGCTATTTCTCCCACCCTTGCTGCCTCTGTATCAGAGGCATTTTCCCCACTCTTACTGCCTTCACCCCATAGCGTTGCTGCCTCTATCAGAGATAGCAGCACCGAGGGTGGGGCGGGGTGGAAGGCGAGGCTGCAGTGAAGCAGCCTCTGTCCACAGCAGGCCGAGCTCCCTTCAGAAAGAGGCTGCTCCTCCTCCCATCAAGCAGCCTCTGTCAGTGGTGGACCCCGGTTTGCCATGGACAGAGGCTGCTCAAACACCCTGCAGACAGGGGCTGCTGCCAAACCAGCCTCTGTCTGTGGCTAGCCTGGGCTGCCACAGGCAGAGATTGCTTTGTGACTGCTTTCTCCACCCCTGCAGCAGCCTCTGTCCATGGGGAGCATCAACCCCCTCCAGACAGGGGTTGTTGTCACCCCGCACTGCTGCCTCTGTATCAGAGGCAGCAGCGTGGGGCAGCAGCCAGCTAGTCTGTGCAGGAAGCTGGTTTTTTAAACTGGCTCTTCTTGCATACTGGCTTCCACCTGGCCGATAGAGAGGCAGCAGTGCAGGGTGTCGGGGGTTCCCTAGGAGTGGAGCCAGAGTTCACTGGCTCCGGGCCCTGCCCCTGGGGATTATAGAATAGCCAAGTAACGGACAAGAATTCCTGCAGTTACTCAACTATTCAGTTACCCGATATCCAACATCCCTAATGTGCCATAAGCAGAGACTAGGATGAATTGAAGATCACCACTAGTTCCCAAGGCTGCCCCCAAAGGCAGAGAGTAACAATAATCCTGGCAAGTGACTTGCATCAACACAGCCCCCCAAAACCCTCTACTCATTGCCAGTCTGACATGGGGAAAAATTACTTCAAACCCCCACGTGGTTAGATGTGAGCAGGAATCAGCCAGTCAAACACTTGAGATAGAGAGAGCAAATGCTTTGTGCCAACTCAGAGCCTTGGCCTGCTGTACCCAATGCCCCATCTCTAGCCAGGGCCATACCTCAGGTTTCTAGAATATATCGGGCATGGAGATCCCTGCTGGTAGCCAGTAGAAGCCCTGTAACATGAGCTTCACTTCTCAAGCCTTGCCACAACTTCTGTCTTCCTTCTCTCCCAGGGATAATGCCAGTGCTTATCTCTTTGCTAGTGAGATCTTTCTCAATCACCAGAAGCATCGCAAAGTTGATGTGATTCCTGACAAATTCACTTCTGCTGACTGCATTTTGAATGGTGGCTGTGAACCTGATCTGTCGTGTCAGTTCACTCTGGTTCCTGGTAGGGTTCTGAGCAAGGGGCACTGGAGCTCCCTCTGCCTACAGACTCTCCGAGGCCACACTGCACTGACTTACATTTGGAAAAAAAGGAGGACCCTCAGATTAAGAAGGAAGAGCGATTTAAAAAAAAAAAAATTTAACTGTAAATTGTAGTGCTGGTGCTAATGAGGCTAATTGAGTAGGCTGAAAGTGTCCCATACTTCGCTTTTGATGTTGATAGGATGTTAAATGTATGGAAGGCTGGTGTTATAATATATTAACCAATTCAAGTGTTTGTTCAGGTCAAGAAAGGCGGTGTAAAATTTGCATGTGAAGGTTAAGTCTGCATTCTCTCTCTGTATTTGGCTTGTGAAATTCCTTTGTAGAAGAATGATTACTTTTAAGTCCATTTATGAGTGTCCAGGCAGGTTAAATTGTTCCTTTAGGGTATGTCTACACTAGCCCCCTAGTTCGAACTACGGAGGCTAATGTAGGCATTCGAAGTTGCAAATCAAGCCCGGGATTTAAATATCCTGCGCTTGATTTGCATCTTCCCGGCCGGTCGCCACTTTTTGAAATTTACAAGTCCAGACTAACTGCCCGCGTCTACACGTGGCAGGGACCCGGTATTTCGAATTAAAGCCCCTAAATCAAACTACCTGTTATTCCTCCTGCAAGGAGGTTTGATTTGCAACTTCGAATGCCTACATTAGCCTCCCTACTTCGAACTAGGGGGCTAGTGTAGACATACCCTTACACGTTTCTGTGTGTTACCATTCCTGATATATGACTTATGTCCGTTTATCCTTAGTTATCTTCATGGTCTTTGGCACCCATGCCCAACAGAGAAGGCAACTTACTCCCCAGGAACCAATAGAATTTTCAGATTTTTCTCCAAGTCTGCAGAATCAGCATACTCTAGCTCTAGAACTCAACTAAATCTTGATTGGATTGACTCAGATTATAAATTCTATATTTGTCAATAGCTTCTGTTTATGGACCATAATCTTTTAGGAATCTCGCACTGAGAAGATATTAAAATAATCAAAAGATCAGCTGTGTCCTTGAAATACATTTGCCCAGTGGCTGGTGACAGAAGCAATGTAAGCAGATGCCTGGATAGAGCTGCAAGGGAGTGCAGTTCTATACTGATTCAGTATCTTGGAGATAGTTTAATCTCCCATCTACTCCCAGAAATACAAGAGGAACTAACTTTCTATAAAACTATGCCTCCCTCAGTCCTCCCCTTCACCAGTCTTGAAAACTCTGAGGCTAACTTGAAGCTGACCAGTGGTTTTCTCTGCACTGATCCAGCAGTTGCAGCACAGAAGGTGAAGCTAAAGGTGGTTGGGTATAGTTGTGTGATCTATACATTTAACCAAGAGACTCCAGTATTGATGGTGATATTTCTATGATGAGATGCAAAGCCCTGTCTGGATCACTGGTGCTCAATAAAAGATCTCTCTCTTTTGTAAGAGTATTTGGGGTATTAATCCTCATGTCCTAGTCATATTCTGTTATGGGTAACTCTATTTGCTAATCTAAATTCCTCTGTAGTTTTGATTGGATGCAACTTTGTCGTTTGGCTTCCATGTTTCATTCAGGATGAAATGGTATTTCAGTGGTGAATGAAATTATCTTTGTAAACCCCAGGCTGTTTGTGTTGAGGCTTTATTTGTAAACTGCAACAAAGCTGAGGAAGAAAGGTGCTGTTATTTACAGTTGACAGACATAAATCCTGAAAGGACAGCAAACTGATTGATTCAGATGCAATCTGTTTTTAAAAACCTCATTTCCAAAGTATGAAGCCTATGTACAGAGCTCCCTACTATCTGCTCTGATTCTTTCTCAGTTTATATCTTGGTGCCATTCGAGGCTGCAAATTTTGATGCCTCATCTGTGATTCTCTTGTGCCAACCTGGAAATGTTGCACATTGGTGCTAAGTGCTTTGTGAGCCTCTTTGCCCTGTTGCTTTCTTCCCTGCATTGGTACTTTTGGCTCCCTAATAACCCCTCTACAGAACCTTTTGTGTAACGAAAGTCTACATGAGCAGCTATTACGTGGGCTCCAGGAAGTGGCTGCTGCACATTCATTATAGCAAAACTAATTTCTCATTTGAATTTGATAAATGAATTCAGTTAGTGAACCAGTAAGGGACTGGTTTTGAGCCTTAAATAAGATTGATTTTAGTTTTACTTAAAAGTAGTGGAGGGGAGGGAAAGAAGCTTTAAAATGGTCATGTAGCTGGGACAATGACCATCCATTCCTGAAAGTGTCAAAGCAGATTGTAATAGTGAATTGAGACCTAGGATGGCTAGTGATTCTAATCATCTACTAGGCATTGGTTTAAAAATGTGTTTGGTGTTTTTATAGCCATTAAAAGATTAAGCCTCACAACAGTACTGTGAGGAAAGTGTGTGTGTTATTTCCACTTTACGGATGGGGAAACTGACTCAGGCTTACAAACCGTATTATATGGTGCTCCCTCTTCAGCTAAGAAGCCAGCCCCCACTGTAGCGGGGTAGCATGTAATCTGTGGACTATATCTGTACTGGAGATATAGACGGACACCTGTTCAATTTATGCAAATTAGTTGCAGACTTCAGGCACTCCAGCCCTGGCTACCTCCCACCCAACTGACTTTTCTGTGGGTCAGCAGTCCCCTGCCCAGAAAAGGTTCCCCACCCCTGACCTAAGGAATCCAAAAATTCTAAACTTTGATGCTTAAACCTCTGTGCCATTGTTTCAATTACTGTGTGAGAACTTCAAGGTTGAGATTTGAGTTGTTAAACTCTCTCTCATTCTAGCAAAACAGCATCCCAATTGAAACCCCATTAGAATCCCAGGACTGAATGAGCCACACACTCTTGTCTCTAAATATGTTTCCAAGTACTAGGAGGATAATGCAAAATCTTGCTTTGCCACTGTCTGCATTGTACTGTTCCCAGAGCTGCCAATCCAGCATCTCACCAATCCGAATTTTGCATGAGAAATGTAAGAATCCCCCAAATCCTAGAAAATCTGCTGTGCACTTCTTCATTCTGTACTGAGCAGCAGCTTGGAGGCTGCAGCACCTACCAGAGCTATGGAGAGCCTGTCTCCCTCAAAGCCCCGTCAGAGTAATTTGCAGTGATCTATTCTGCTGTCCTTGCTAGCCATTAGTAATTGCTAAATTTAATTTCTCTTCTAGCTACATGACTACAACATTTGTGATGGAGGCCATGGCTGCTGCTAATGCCCAGCTGCGTTGGAAGAGAATGGAAAAGCACAAGGTTTATGTTGTGGCTTTTTATTTTCCAATCTCTATCACTCTTTAGTCCCTAAAGGCTCTTCTTAGATTACTGCGCTGGCTCTGTCTCGCCTCATTAGTAAGTCTAATAAAGGAATAAATTTCCACTGTATTTAACATCTACATATAAAATATAGTGGTTCTCTGTGGTATTGCTCATAAAACCCAGGATTTTCTTTTCTTGCCTTAAAAATCCCTGCTCATGCCCATATGTTTCCCAGTTACATGCTACTGGCCTTGGCCTGGGATTCACCTTAGAGGAGTTGGGGAGAACAATCCACCATTCAAGGTGGGTTAGGGTCCCTGCATTGTGTGAGATGCAGTTACTGCAGGGCACCATTCCTCCAGCTGCAGTGATCTTGTCATTGGGATTGTATTCCAGGGACTCCTGCTGGGCATTTTCTCTGGCCTCTGTCCTGACTATAGAATTTGCTTCTTCTCTTAGTTTGTCATCTCCTCAGGTTAATGGTCTTCCTGAAGTAGTAAAAGGCATATTTTTGGTCCGACTTTAATCATGATTAGTAGGAAGGTTGGGGGGGGGGGAAGGAGAGGGGAGTTGGCAGAGCAGGAAAGCCCAGTCCCCTATTTAAAAAAAAAAAGAGGAAAAAACATGGCTAGACCTGAGACTGTTCTGCCTCAGAGAAATGCAAATGTTTGGGCTTAAAAAAAAAAAAAAAAAAAAAAAGCTAGCTAGTGCCCACACTGAGAATCTGAACACCAAATCTACAAACTCATAGCATCAGGTTTGCTAGTGCCTTTATGAATGCACTTAATGGACATTCTGCCCTTATGTATATGACCTGCTTGGAAAGAGAATAGCTCACTTTGTCTTTCACCTCATAATATCTTGCCAGTGTCGTCGTCCTTCCCCAGAGTGCCTGCTCCACAATCCAAGACCAGGAATATGTTTCCCTAACATCTTATCATATGTTCACTTGTCTCCCTCCCAGTCCCCCTCGCTTTATCTATGAGCATGTGGACTGAGGTTGTTGCATTGTGTTCTTTCTACCTGCTTGTACTGTTGCCACAAGCTGTGCCTCAGGTAATAGAAATCACTGACAGTTCTTTGGCAGTTGCACTCAGTTGCCTTCCTTCTAGGAAGACGATGATGAAGATTCTTCCTCTGGGGTCTCTGATAGTGATGTTCTTCTCCAAGATGGCTATGAACGATCGGAGACACGGCCTATCCTGTCAGTTCGTAAGTATCTAGCTTTTGTTACCACTTGCTCACTAATAGGGAATGAAAGGCCTGCTCCCGCTTCTGTGGGAGCCAGACTCTTTTCAATTACCCTCTTCTAAGGAGAGTAAGACTCCTCTCTTCTGCCTTTTACCCTGAGGGCTTGTCTACATTTGAAAGTTAATTTGGAACAAGACATGGTGTGAATATAAACTGCTATAGCCTTTCCTGAATAGCTCCATGAAAATGGAGTAAGCTAAAAAGGAGCAAGAAATTCATATTCTAGAATGAGAGTATCCATTCACTGAGTTATTCAAGAATAGTTATTTTGGAAGAGATAAGCCATTAGTGACAAACGAATTCCACAAGCTCTTTTAGTTCATGCCATTATGGCTTTTACGATGAACTAATGGGTGAAGCTAGTTTTACTCTGTTGCTTCCAAACAGAAGCTTTTTCTTTCCCCTTTTACCTAGAACAATTCCAACTGGTCACCAAGGCATAAATGTCTTGCTTTGGAAATCTATAAATTGTTACTTCCAGGAGTCATATGCATGGCAGCTGGCAGCACAGAAGTGGTGTGTGTGTATCTTGGATGGTGTTACCAAAATAGATGGGATGTCCCCAGCCGGTGCCTGTCCCTCTTTTGGGCTCATCAAGAAGAGTGAGTGGAATTTTCTTGTTTCCAACTTGCAGAGAGACGTGGCTCACTCAACATCTTTGAAATCACTGAGAGGGTGGAGATGGGCCAGATGGCCTCTATGTTCTTCAATAAAGGTAACTACTGCCCTTTTTCAAGGTTTCCCAAAGATTTTCTTGCATGGGGTAGTAGGTGGTGTTGGTCCTTAAATCAGAGCACTCGTAATCTGATAGTGGAAACAGCCACTCCTGTGAATTCTGGGGTCCCTCTTCACCTCCTGATTCTGAGGGCTTCACAGTTCAAGTCAAACACGCCCCTCATTCCCAAACACCTTCTTGTAGGAATTTTTTTTCCTGACTGTTCTCCGCTGTAGTTCTAGAAAATGTGGTTATGAACTTATTTCCAACCTAGACCAGGTAACTATATCAGAGTCTACATAAGGGAGTGCAGAGAAGTTGAAACAGGTTTAGCATAATGTCAGATTCTCCCTCTGAAAGGAGAGTGTAAAGATTGTAGAAATAACAGTTGCTTCTGCCCAGTTGTGACCTAACCCTCCACATATTAAGTGCTCACTTCCTGTCTCTGTATCCTTAGCAAAGGCTTTTTCACAGCAGCAAAGCCAGCACTTAGGCTACGTCCACACTGCGGAGCTATTTCGGAATACCTTCGCTATCCTGAAATAGCTATCCCATGTCTTAACAGCGCACCTGTTATTTCAAAATATAACAGGCTCTCTATTCCGACATCCCTATAAACCAAAGTATAGACAGCGCCAAATTCCGAAATAAGCTATTTCGAAATTGACTCGAAATAAACTACGCAATTTGCGTTGCTCAAATTGCATAGCTTATTTCCAACTATGGGTGTAGTGTAGATGTAACCTTGGTTTGCTGCTCTCGTCCTGCTGACATGGTTGAGATGCAGCAAATCAAACATTTCCCCACTCACTTAGCTTCAGTCTGAAGAAAGGTCAGAGAGGAGAATTTCTGAGAGCACTTGACTTGCCTGGGTCAGTCTCTAGGGGAACAGCTTCTATGATTCTGAGCTTCAGTTCAAATGGGCCCCTGGGCACACTTGATGAATGCAAACATTTTGTCTTTGTATTACATGTTTTTTTGTTGTAGGATGGAAAACAAACCTATTAATAGAAGGAGATAAGAAAACCATGCAAAGGTAGCTGCAACACAAAGCTATATTCATCGCACACTGTAGAGATACAAGCCATAGAAAATGAGATGGCCCTGAGAGTATAGTGTACTAGTGAAGAAATACCATGCGGAGCCAGAAAACCATCACATTGATGCTATGGTGTAGTCGTCCTCTCTTTCAGCCAAATGTCTTGTGAATGGCATGTTCCTTTGTTCACCAGTAGTTTTGTTAGCACACAAGAGGCCGCCTTTCCGCCTGTATTACATCAGTTTTATGCTAATATAATTCCATTGACTTCAACGAAGAATCCGGATCAGGGCAGCAGAGCATTTTCAAAAGTACTGGAGTCATTTGTGAGCACAAGTTCCACTCCCAGTGATTCCAATTCCACTGATGAAGTGGGTTTTACCCACAAAAGCTTATGATTCTATATATTTTGGTTAGTCTCTGAGGTGCCACAGGACTTCTCGTTGTTTTTAAAGTTACAGACTAATACGACTACCCCTTTGAGATTTTTCCAAGTGCATAGGAATCCTTTTAATGGGTCTTGTGCTACTAGCTTACTTAGATATTTTGAAATTGCTATCTTAGCTCTCTATATGGCCCCATTCTAACGGTGGAGGAGGAGCAGTGTGGTCTGGGCCTGGAACATCTAATCCCAGCTCTGACACTGATTTGCTACACTTTCGGGCAAGTCTCTTCACTTGCGCCTGTTTCCCCATCTTATGCTTACCCCCTCCACAGTGGTGGTCTGGGGATTAATATTTGTAAAGGACTTTGAAGATGGAGAGCTCAGTGTATGTGCTACTTAGCAGTATTGTTTTGAATCCTTGTCTATATCAGCAGGTATAGCTCAGTAGACTAAAGGGATACTGCAGAAAGGGGGCAACCGATCAGCCAATGCATACGCAAATTTTAGATCGCTAGTTAAACCTCTTCAAATGCATTGGAGAGAATGATTGTATCTACAATATTTAGTATTGAAGAATAGTGGTTATAAGGGAGGCTATGTTCTAGGAGGCTGCAGCTGGTCTCAAGCTCTAATAATTGATGTAAGAGACAATGTTTCCCAGTAGAGGGTGCTGGGAGTACATATATTTCTAACCCAAGTAAGAAAAGCTACATGTAAATTTCCCAGCAGTGCCATATCTCTTGCTTAATACTTTACATTTAATCCCCCTTCTTAGTTTTATTTTTAGTTTGAGTTATCAGTGTTAGATGCTAGATATCTATGATTATATGTTAGGGATTCCCCTTCAAAAATATTTAGGGTCCCGATGATGATGGGATGAGAGCTCTTTCAGGACGTCAGGTGGTGCTGCCATAGACCACAGCATGAAAACACTGTGACTTCCACATAAGTCGACCTAGTTAACTGTTTGGAGGGGAAAGGTGTGACTCATTTGCTGCTTTCCCTCCCTGGTCAGAAATAATAGCCTGGTCCTGTGTTATTGCTCAGCCCTGTTCAAAGATGCCCCACGCTTGTGTTAGAAAAGCTCAAACCTAAATGATCAGAGAAGAGCCAAGTTAAACATGCCTCTCTGCAGACTGTCATAGCAGACTAGTCATTTGAAAGGCTCCACAGAGATCAAACGGCTCTGAATGAGGGGGTTGTGCAGTGATCTGTTGGATATTGGTTAGGGAATGTGAAATCTAGGCTGTCAGAAGCTGGAGTTTGAAAATACTAGCTCAAAGCATTGGCCTCTGCATTTGTATCATTAGCAGCTGTCTCATGTTTAGATGCAGGCGCTGTGTAGCACAGGCAGAGATGAGGTGTCAGGGGGGCTCTGTGGCCATTGTGGGGCAGAGAGGGGCTTTGTCACAAATTCCTACCAATAAGACTTATTGGCTCATTAAAAGTGGTGGGGGGGAACCCTATGTTTAGGGTTGCTACTAATGAGTTCTCTGTTCATTTCTCTTGACTGGCTTAACAATCTTGACAGCATGTGAATCTGTAAACCTCAGAGTTAAGCAGGGGATAAATCTTCCACCTCTGATTCTCCATCTGTTTTCTGAAGGGTGCTGACTTACATTTGGACTGCAAGGAAAAATAAACAGCCCCACCAATTTCCTTTTAAAGAAATCTGCCCTGAAACATGTCTCTCTCTCTCTGGTCACAATGCTGGGCTCTCTCTACCAGGGATCTGGGAGTCATTTATCATCATAATGGATTCTGTGCACATTCATCATTCTCCGTCCTCACAGGAAGTCATTGATCTTACCGTTTTGTGTCCAGTAATGAAAGTATCGATCAGGGAGGATCGGCGGCAGTTTATAAACGGAACCGACACTGAAGTCCGCCTGCAGTCAGAGAAGATGGGGGAACCTCTTGCAGTTGCATCCCAGAGATCAGCAAATCAGACTTGTAAAGATCTGGGGTTTTAGATTTACCAAATTATTAACTCTTCTTAAGTTTCTTCAACTAAGTTCAAAGACTGCATAAAAGCTACTGTGTGAGCAGTCATCCGAAGAAGCAGGAGTTGAAGCTTCTTCCACTAGTACAGTTACACTGGATGGAAACTGAATGGGGATGAGGATTACTAGGAAAATCAAGATTTTTTTTTTTTCAGCCCTTACCTTCTCTTTACATTTTAAAGACTAGTTTCAACACGCAGGTCTGGAAATTGATGTTTAAAAACAGACATCTTTGAATGGCTGCTCTGATTAAAAAGGTTAACATTTTAAACTGTCCTGTACCCCACTCTCGGAGTCTGATCATTTTCAAAGTTGCACAGTGAATATCCCTATGTGACTATCTTAAAAATAGCCTAAAGGCACTAGTTCTCATTGAAGATAAGTTTTTAAAGGGAGTTTCACGTCCCAACAAATTGAGACTTTTTTTTTTCAGAGGGGTGGAACACCTGCAGTTCTCCTTTATTAAATGTAAGATTTAAAAAAAAAAATGTTTTGGACAGAAGGGTCTCATTTTTCAAACTTTGCTTTTAAAAAATAACCCTAACCTCCTGTGGCTAGAGAATATGTACGAGAAACAGCTTTTTAAGGAAGTTGGAAGAGGAGAGGAGGTTAGGATCATGTTTACAGTGAAAACCTGGTTGCAGTCTTAACTGTGATGATTGAATCTGTGGCTTTGTAATAATGACATCTCATCCTCAATGTGTTTCAAGCATCAAGATGCACATTCCCCCCCACTTTATTTCAGTCCCCTCCCTCCTGTTCCTCCATATAACTTGAGAGAGTCTGACATTCTCCTATGGCTGTCACCTCAGCTCTGAGAGAGGAGCATCCAGTGATATGAGGGGGGAATTTTTACATTTAAGGAGGGGATGCTAGTACTGTAATGATGATCATATATTGATTTCTTTTGGTAAAGAAGGTGCTTTGCTACCTTCTAAATGGGAGATCATTAATCAAAGTGAGCCACAAGATCTAGAATATTTGGTTGAGAGGGAGAAAGATAAACAATGCACAGATTGTAGTAGCCAGATACCAATGATGATGAGCATAGTAAAATTACCTAATTATATGGTAGAGCTTCTAAAGTACAAAGCCTCCTTCCTGCAAGGTAGTCCGTGGTGCTAGACTCGTTTTACAGCTATTGTACATGAGACAGCAAAGTAAAGTGACTTGCCCAAGCCATGGGGAGTTAGCAACCTTGGGGACTTGAATTCGAGTTCATTATTCCCAGTCCTGCGCACAGACCTGTCAAAACATTGCATTCTCATGCTCTTCTTTTTTCCTGCTAAAGTGAAACGCTCATATGCTTTTTCATGGCTCGTTTTCCTCTGAACTAAAATCTATTTAGGTTTACTTTGCATTGTTTAGACTGAGGCGTTTGCTTCCATTTCTTCAAAGTTGGTGTAATTTGGCACCTCTTTATTTTCATTGATTTCAGCTCATAAGAGCAGAGTTTCTTGTTTATGCCCTGATCAGGTCTTTTGTGCATAAATCTAGCTTTATGGCAGTGGCTTTCTTTTCGTCTTTCTCCTTCCAGCTGAATGCAGGACAGGTAAAACCTGGTTTTGATCAACAGCTTTGCGGGCAGGGGAGAATGAGTGAAACTTCTGGAAAACTCAGATTTAGTACAGGTTGGACCTTTCTTATCCAGCACCCTTGGGACCTGACCAGTCCCAGATAAAGGAATTTGCCAGACAATGGGAAGTCCCCTGACACCAGCCTCTTAGCCTACTGCCCCTCCCTGCTGCCAGCTCCTTCAGCTTGGCTGGGTAGTTTGCGGGCCAGGCCCGGGTCTGCTGCCGGGCAGCTCCAGCCCCAATGCCAAATGGCACATTGCCCAATCAGGCTGCCGCAGCCCCAATCCCACTGCCAGACGGCACATGGCCACACTGATTCTGCCAGGCTGCCACGGCTAGCTTCACCTCTTTGGCTGTTGTGGCCATAGCCCCAGTCCTCCTGCAGAGTGGTAGGCAGCCCCAATCATGCTGCCCCTGCCACCTGGGCTGCTTCAGCCCCACTGCCTTCCAGACTGACACTGCCTAGCCAGGCTTCCCCTCTTGGGCTTCTGTGGTCCCAGGCCACTTCTGGGCAGCAGACAGTCCTGATTGCACTCCGCCCAGGCTGCTGCAGCCCCGCTGCTAGCAGACTTGCGGGGCTGCACCAGGCTCCCAGGTGCTGGCCCTTCTGCCCTGGGGCGCTCTCATCCAGACCACAGACATTGCCAGATGAGAGAATCCTAGGTTTGGGAGGTGCAAGCTGTATCATCAAAAGTGCAGCAGAATTGAAATTTGAAGCTCCACAAGGTGAAACTAAGCCCAAAATGTATAAATTCTGCAGAGTCTTTCAAAGAAGCTTAGCTTCAGGCCTGCAGAACTTGGGAGCTCTGTGTGACTAAAACCTCCTGGCTAAGCTCTTGAGGTGTTCAGGAGTTTTGTAGGTAAAGAACTTCAAGACAGTGCAATGAGCAGGTGTTCAGAATATTCAGTGTCTTCTGTTTTCTTTGAGCTATCTCTGATGCTGGGTTGCATCTCAGAGGTTTGACTCTTAATGCATTGCAATTGCACCAGTCCCTAAGCACATCTTGTTTCAAGCCAGACGATTTCTACACAGGAATTGTGCCACTGGTTGCTAGTGAATGTTTATTTAGAGAATGGGTGTGAATGAAGAGAGAACTGGATGGGATTTGAATAGGACACGTTTTACCTTTAGCTTGCTGGCTTATGTCTCTGCCGTGTCAGAGGGTCTTCCCCACCTGGTGTGTGGCTTATGACGGATGATTTCATAGAACACTAGAACTGGAAGGGACCTCAAGAGATTGAGTCTAGTTCCCTACTCTCACGGCAGGACCAAGCACTGTCTAGATCATCTCTGACAGGTGTCTGTCTAACCTGTTCTTAAATATCTCCAGTGATGGAGATTCCACAACCCCCCTAGGCAATTTATTCCAGTGTTTAACCACCCTGACAGGCAGGAAGTTTATCCTGATGACCAACATAAACCCCCCTTGCTGCAATTTAAGCCCACTGCTGCTTGTCCTATCCTCAGAGGCCAAGGAGAACAATTTTTCTCCCACGTCCTTATGACACCCTTCTAAATACTTGAAAATCGCTATTATGTCCCTTCTCAATCTTCTCTTTTCTAACTAAACAAGCCCAGTTCTTTCAGTCTTCCCTCGTAGGTCGTTTTCTAGACCTTTAATCATTTTTGTTGCTCTTCTTTCGATCTTCTCCAATTTCTCTACATCTTCCTTGAAATGTGGTGCCTAGAAATGGACAAAATACTCCAATCAAAGCCTAATCAGCTCAGAGTGGAGCAGAAGAATGACTTCTCGTGTCTTGCTCACAACACTCCTATTAATTCATCCCAGAATCATATTTGCTTTTTTTTGCAACAGTGTCACACTATTGACTCATGTTTAACTTGTCCACTGTGATCCCTAGATCCCTTTCAGCAGTTCTCCTTCCCAGATGCTTTGGTTGCACTCAGCCCACTTTCCAGCAGATGGGTGTCCACAGCATCAAAGCTATCATCACAATTGTCAATAGTCTTCCTTGTGGGTCATCTTATTAGAGAGGCCAGGGATTTATTGGGCTAGAGGTTTTGGGAGGCAGCTTGCATTGTTTCCGCCTATGCTGTACATCACCTGTGGACAAAAGATCCTCTGATACAGCTAGCTTGGTACCTCTAACCCGCATGAAATTTATCACTAAACTACACAAACCGATGGTGAAAATAAACCCCCTTGCAAGGAGGTGACATGAACAGGTGGCTCCTTTAGGAGCTGAGTTCAAGGACCCCAGCCCTCTTATTAATGCATTTCCTTTTCTTACAGTGGGGGTCAACTTGTTTTATTTCTGTATAATCATCTACCTCTATGGGGACCTGGCGATCTACGCAGCTGCAGTGCCAGTCTCGCTCATGCAGGTGACCTGGTGAGTGTGCTCATTTTCTTCGTAAGCCCAGGGATCTAATCCAATAACATAGGAGAGAACAGATCCGTTTCCATTTGGGTTCCTCTGCGACACAGAGCTAGTGACTGTTCAGTGGATGTGGGTTTGCCCTTGGCTGGGAGATGACGCAAGAACATGTCATGAATGTTCAGGATAGTGAAGTTGGAAGCAGTGTTTCCTCTAAGCTGAGCACTTGGGCAGTCACTCAGGAGAGATTCAGGTGCCACCAAGCTGATTAACAGAGTGCCTACAGCCAGTAATGTATGTTTTTATTGGTGGTGCACATCTGCATCTGTCTTGGTGCACTTAACATAATTTGTTCAGCACATGGATTAAAAAAATTAGAGGAACACAGGTTGGGAGCCTCCCTCTTTATTGGGTACAGATAAGATGGTATCAACTGGCTGAAGAGTCACATGCCCTGACTTACATTCAACTTTGTGTTAGACCAACTGAGTAAACAGGACATTGGTCTAATATAACTCAGGCTGCAGTAGTGTGAAGTAGGGATATCCATGTGTATTGCTTACATGATTAACTGACAAACCTGTCTTATTCTTGTTAATTACATGCACTCCCCCGCACGCCCCCCCTTGCTTCCTCTGTATCAGAGGCAGCAAGTGGGAGAGGCTGGCTCTGCAGAGCCATCTGTCTCCCCTTGCTGCCTCCCACAGAGGCAGCGGGGGAGGGCAGGCAGGAGCTGGTACACGCAGGAAGTGGCTTGTAAGTTGGCTTGCCCCACATATTGGCTGCCACGGAGCTGCTTCCCCCTCCCCTGTCCTGCTGTGTCTTTATCAGAGGCAGTGGCGGGGGGGCGGGGGAGGGGGGCGCCCCTCTCCCCCCCCCCCCACATAAACATAACATTTCTTGTGGTTATTCATTTACCCAAATACCTGATAGTTAAAATCCCTAGTGTGAATGGTGCTGACCACACCCATGTATTTCCTTGCTATTTGATGGACCATTCCCAGGTGTGAAGCTTTTAATAAGTTCTTGAGCTGTCAGCCTGATTCACCACCTCAACTGTGTTTCCTTTGGTGATATGGATAGGTGTCTATTAGGAATTAGACTGAGTCCAAATCCTTCCTTCTAACCAACAACTATCAAAGAAGCATGATGTTTTTTCAAGTTCACTCTTGGCTCAAATTGAAATAGTATCCTAGAGGTGTAAGTCTCTGTATCCCATTATTAGTAACATCAACCATCTAGTCCTATGACCTGCATCTTTAAATAACCACAAGGAGCCCAAAAATTTATCTACAGGTACATAATTTGGAGTCATTTCTATTTCTTGGGGTTATGATAAAGCAGCAAGATCAGGGGAATGTCTGTGCATGTGTCTCTCTCCACTATGCCCCATTCTTTTTGACTGGAGAGGAAGACGCATTAGTATATTCACAGGGACGTTAATTACTGTTTTGCTTATGTTTTCCCCTCTTCCCTCACCCCATTCTCAGCAGCATAACTGGCAATCACTCCTGCGGTGTTGGAGACGGCACTAAGTATAATGATACCGATAAGTGCTGGGGGCCAATCAGGCGGATTGATGCTTACAGACTCTATCTGGTGAGTGCTTAGAATGGGATGACTAGTGCTGTTTCTCTCACTCCCCATCACATTTGATGTGAAATGGTATACGCAAGTTTCTATGGCATAATGCATTCAGCTGAACAGCCAAGGTCAGGAGTTCTGACTTTATCCTAGTCTGATTTGCTGAATGCCTCCTCTGCCAGCTTGATAGCCTAACTACGTTGTGCTAAGTAAAATTTCCCGTGCGTTCTCTTTAGTGTACAGTATTCTGCACTTTCTGTTTTGCATGTCGTTTCTGTGTTCTATTTCAACAGCTCTTGTGTTGCAACCCAGAAGTGCCTGCACTTTAGTGCTTGGTGACTTTATATAGAGGTCTTAAAGTTTACTGCGTGTGTTAGGATTCTTTTGGATGCAAAGCAGTATGTGCGTATTAGATCTATTCCTGTATTGCACAAACTTTGGTGCATCTTTAAATTCTTCTGTGAGAGAAATATTGTAGTTTTATACAAACCTCTGCTTTTTGAGGGGGAACATAGAAATAGAACAAAGTCTGGTGACGACATGTACCATTTCAGTAGCATGGCTGGCTAGCTTAGGGTTTCCTAGCCCATCACCAAGGTATCAAAAAATTGTGACTCTGTTGCATGGCAGAACCAAACTCCCTTTGACTTCAGTAAGAGTTACACACCAGGACAGAAATCCTTGTTTGGAGTGAGAAGTGAAGGGTGGGGAAGTGAAGAGCTTTGATAGCCTGTTTTTACTTTCCAGGCTATAACTTTCAGCCTGTTGGAACTTTAGCTGGGGGTTTAAATAGAAAGCGGAGTGAAAGAGAGGAAGATTGCCTTATATCATCAGTGCAAACAGGTAAACCCAAGGGCAGGAGTAAATGTAAGCAGTACTTTCAGTTACCCTACTAAGGGGAGTATGGTGGTTGGATAACATGCCTGAGAATGCTTTGCTGTTGCAGTAATAACTCTGGGATAGGAGGTAGGCCTCAGGAATATTAGCAAATGTCACAGCCTGGTTAATTATTTAAAAGAAATATTACTGCTTTATTAAATTGCCTCTTTGTCTATCTCTTTGAAACCTACATGATGGAGGATTTCCTCTCTGAATTTCAATAACTCTTTGGCCGAACAGAAGGAACTCATCAGGAACGGCAGAAATGCATTAATTACTAACTGTGTCTTCCAGATATTACACCTATAACTCATAAAGATAATTGTCATTAGCGCTTGAAAATTTTTAAAAAGAAAGCTAAACAAACAAAAAGCCTTACTTGCTGCTGTGTCTTTGTGAGCACCTTTCATGAACTTTATTCCTTCTGCTTGTCTTCGTTCAGGTTTGAAGGTCAGTTTATCCTCTGTCTGTGACGGGTTAACCCTTTCTCTATTGAGTAATCAAGAAAAAGGTTTCAGGGCTTTTATCCACTTGCTTCCAGCAGGAACAAGGCTGCGTGGTGCTATGAGATGTGGTTCGGTAATCAGTGGAATTGCTCCAGCGATGGGCTGAACATACAGAAAAGCTCCAAACTGTCAATGCAACCTCAGAGCTCGGTTACATCTTTGCTAACATGTCTAATGTTTCCCACTAAATACACATATAGGTAACATTGTTGTTTTAGGACAAATCAGGATTCCTCTTCGCAACTCTGGAGTCCACTTGTTGCTTGACCCTAAGCAAGTCACCTAACTTCAGTCTTAATTTACTGCTCTGTAAAATGAGAATATTGTGAGGGAGCTCCAAGAATGTTGAGCTTTAGTTGTCTGTGAAGCACATTGAGATCCACTGTGTAAAATGGTGGTATCATCAAGGTCAGGAGAACTATTCTTGATATGGCCCACCTCTGAAGGGATCTTTAAAAATGAAGCTGACTTTGGTTCTGGGGAATCTTTTTCACTGGTTTGTTATAACTTGCAGACAACAGGTGACAGATGAGTAGGTCTGTATTGTATTTGTCCATAGAAAAACAATGTCTCCCCATGTTACAAAGTGACATATTTTATGGAGTATTATTCAATTATAGCAATGTGCATTTTAACAGCCCAGTGTCAATCAGATATTATGTTGTAAAGAGCTAGCAATGTTCAAGTACAGTTTTCTTCTGCCTTTTTAGCTTTGTTGGAATCTCACTTTATCCTTTCATCCTTGGGATTTTTCATATTCAAAACCATGTCAGCCTTCAAAAAAGTTTGAAATTTGTGCTATAGGAAAGTAGGCTTTGTGGCCAAACAATAATGCAGATTTTGAGTGACCTGTTCTCAGATGCAAATGCTTCCACCAAATGACAAAGGGCTGCTGTTCTTGTCTCTTGTTGCATTGTTTCAAAGTCTTTCCTAGCCATTTATTTTTCTATGGAACATGTTGCAGTGCAATCAGGCTTTCTTCTTAACACATGGAAGTGCTTTGTGATCACTATTGCATAATTTGCTTTAAAACTTAATTGGAATGTTTCATGTTGTACAAAACTTGACATCAGCAGTCACGTGAAATGTTTTGTACTGCAGAGATCAAAATTTGGCAGAGATTTCCTTATTCAGAATCCATATGTCTGTGTCTACCATAATACAAGTTGAACCTCTCTAGTACAGCACCCTTGGGACCTGACCGGTGCTGAACCAGAGAATTTGCTGAATCATGGGAGGTCAATATTGTCTACAGCATTACCAACACTTTTACTGCTCACTGGGCTTTAGAGGATATTTAGGGGTAAATTAGAGCTAAAATAACAGCACAGAACACTAAGAGCCAGGACTGGTGACTGTAAACAAAATTTATTGGACCACAGGGAATTTAGACACACCCATGCTGGACTAAAGAGGTTCAACCTGTACTACCTCCAACATGGAATAACTGTCAGCTTAAATTGTCAAGTTTCTGTCCAGAAGCGGATCCTCTAGAGCAGTGTTTCCCAATTTTATTTGGCCACAGAACCCCTAGGCTTTCCTTTTAAAAAAAAAAAACAGTTCCTGCCGCAGCTCTGTCTCTCTTTAAGAGGGGACGGGGAAGTTCCGGCTCTTCGCAGAATTAGAGCCAGCAGGATAACCAGATCCTGGTCACACGTAGGGGGAAGCAAGCCATTAGAAGTGAAGAAGGGAAATAAACTTCAGAAGAACATAAGCAAATGGGACCTTCTTCTCCCAGCATGTGAAATGTCCCTAGAGTCAGGGGCCCCTTTTGATCTAGAGTCTTAACCTCTTTGAATGGGTTCGAATCAGGCAGCTGAAGTAGGGAGCTGCAGGCTCAACTCTTAAGGCACCTAAAAGCTGGGCAGTCCAATGCAGTCAAGATCCCTACTTAGCCAGCACTCTGCTCCCTACCCTCAGTAGGAATGAATCCCCTTCATCTCCCATCTCTTTGTGTGTGTACATAGACAGCAAATTACTGGCAACATCTTCCTTGTTTTTCAGCCCAAATGGTCTGTTTAATGTGTTCTGAGGAACCTGTGGCAACTGCAAGAATCATACCAATTGGGCTTTTTTCACCTCTGATGCCACCTGTCAGCAGAAGGTCAGTCCTGCCTCCTTTCCAAGGACTCTGTATTTCCTATCCCTTGTTTTTTTTCCAGTTGCAGTAATAACTGTTTCAAGCATCTAATCTTTAGGCTGGGGAAAGGGAGGAAGGAATGATTGACATAAAATCATATTTCATGATTTAATGTCCAAAATGTCTTCCGGAAATGG